GTCTCCTTAGCAAGCTCGATGAACTCAGATTACTGGTCTCTGAACAGAAGCCTCACATAATTGTCCTAACAGGGACATGGTTGACTGAGGAAATAAGTAGTAGCAAAGTCAGCACTGGAGGCTACCAAATCTTCCGTTGTGACAGATTTCAACGTAGAGGAGGAGACGCAATGATTTATGGGCCAAATGGAATTCTGTGCAGTCAGTGAGAAATAACCGATGGGGCTCCGCGAAATTTCGAAATAATTTCATGCAAGATATGTATCAAACAATTACGGACACTTAACTTGTGTGTTGTCTGTCGACCTCCCAGCTCGAATGAAATCGCCGGCATGGAATTATTTAGTGCGCTGGAGTTGTTATATGAGCAAGAGAACTTACTACTTCTGTGTGACTTTAACGCTCCAGGAACGGACTGGAAATGTCCCTTAACAAACGCCCTGTCCACGTTATTTGACCAGAAGCCACTACAACTCTCCCTGAATGAATACCTCATTCAACAAAATTCAGAATAAGACTGAGAGAAGGACAACGATCTAACTGTTTAAAACTCGTTTTCAGTAAAGAAGGAGTCATAAAAGAAGTGAATCCACAACCTCCACTCGGTTTAAGCGATCATATTGCTTTCACCTGCGTGTGCTCTCTCCTATTGAACTAGCAACAAAAAATACAGAGGCGCAGAAATATTTGGAAGGGCGACTTTAACACACTGAGACGTACTCTTTTAAAGAAAACCTGGTTAGTCATCATATAAGATTCAGAAGAATTCTGGCAGTACTTTCGCGGGATTTTAGAGCGTCTAATTGACTCCAATTTGTCCAATAAAATTAACCAGAAAACGTGCGCGACCACTGTGGGTCAATCCGATGACAAAAAAGACTATGAGGAAGAAGCAGAGGCTGTATAAAAAGTATTTGCATCTTCGAGATCCAATGTCATTCGCCGAATATAAGGATCAGCGCAAAAATGCCGCAAACAAATACGGGTTGCCAGAACGTCCTTCGAGCGCCGACTGATGGCAGAATCCACTACATGCCCCAAAACGTTTTACGGGTACATCCGCAGTAGGAGAAAATATAGGGACGAAATTGCGTATCTACAGGACAGTCTAGGAAACTTATTGGTTGAAGGGTCACAGAAACTGCAATTTCTGTCCCAGTTTTTCCAATCGGTTTTCACGAAGGAGTCCTCAGGAGACAATCAGCAGTTTGAAATTGACCGAGACAGCCGGGAGCTTCAAATGCGCCAAGATACCGCCGTCATTGAAACCGTTGCCTTTCAGTCGAAGAAGTAAGACGCGTCCTCGGCCAAATAAAAGCAGATAAGTCTCCTGGATCCGACGGAATTCCTGGACCGATACTGAAGGAGCTGTCAAAGCCTCTTTCGACTCTTTTTGAGCTGTCAATGAGAACAGTAGGTCTGCCATCAGATTGAAGGACGGCTAACCTCATTCCCTTACATAAGGGAGGTAGCATGATGGCAGCAAGCAGCTTCAAGCCTATAAGTTTAACTTGCCTCTCATGCAAAACGATGGAAGCTATAGTAAAGAGCGCTATACAGCTATTTTGTGAAGAAAATAACATCTTGCAGGATGTTCAACATGGCTCCCGGAGAGGACGTTCCTGCCTCTCAAATCTGCTAGCTTGTCTGCACATCTGGAACAGGATTCTAGAAGAGGGTTTTGAGGTCGATGTCGTGTACATCGATTTCCGCAAAGCTTCCGATACTGTTCCACACCAACGTCTTCTTCACAAATTGAGTGTTATCGGAGTCCGGGGAGATCTTCTGAACTGGATAAGAGTGTTTCTGAATGGTCGGAAATAACGTGTCTGTATCGGAGATGATATGTCTGAATGGGTGAACGTGACCAGTGCTGTGCCTCAAGGCTCAGTTCTGGGACCATTGCTCTTCATCCTTTACGTTAACGACAGCCTTCAGGAACTCGACTGCGGCAAAATAATGTTTGCAGACGACGTTAAGCTCTGGAAAGTCATTAAGGATCCGAATGATCAGAGATTCCTTCAAGATAATCTGCACCGACTGCAAGCGTGGTCGAAGAAATGGCTTCTAGATTTCAATGTGGAGAAGTGTGCCGTCCTTCATTTGCGTCCAACCAACTCTCATTCAAAAGATATAAGGCCCCCTGCAGAATCTTCAGAGAAGTATCTCGGGGTTTGGATACAGAACAACCTGAAACCAACACTGCAGTGCCACAAGGCAGCAAAAAACGCCGTGGGTGTGCTGCATGCAGTCAAAAGGACTTTCGTAAACTTTGACCAAGACCTTTTTGGGAGAGTTTACGGCACCCTTGTTCGACCCCACTTAGAATATGGCATACAAGCATGGCGGCCGTGGTTAGTAAAGGACCAACCATGTCCCGAACGGGTACAAAATTCGTGCAACAAAGCTGGTCAACGGTCTAAAAAGCAAACCCTACACAGACAGACTGAATTGCCTTAATTTAATTCCTCTGTGTTACATGCAACAAAGAGGTGACCTTATCTTCGTTTGCAAGATAATACATGACCTTGAGCACGGACTTAGCTTCGAGGACATGTTTCAGTGGCAAATTTCACACAATCTTCGTGGTCACTCGATGAAGCTACGGACAACAATGTCTAGACTGAATCTTCGTTCTGAATTTTTCACACAAAGAGTAGTGGAGAAATGGAAAGATCTCCCTCAGTCATCCGTGGGGGCTACGTCTCTGCAACTCTTCAAGAAACGCTTGGATGATTATTTGTGTCCCCTGTTTTCCCTCGACAGTTTGAAGCGGAACTAATACCCCACGACCCCGCAAATTTGTATCTGAGACGGTGCTAGTCAAATAAATCAAGTACTGTTTGAATGGCGAATATTTTTATTGTTCGTGTACAGTTATTTCTAACGAGCTGACATGCAATCAATAGGGTTTTCAAAGACTTTGCCTATAATCTTTACCAAATAAACTGAAAAAAAGGTTGAAACGGAGAAGTAACTGCGGTTTTCGACACGTCACTGGCCTCAAATGGGATTTGGTGATAATGCGACATGATCAGTCTTGGAGAGCATGCGCCTACCGTGCAGCGAGAGTCCTGGACAGGATGCTGATCAGTCATCCTGTTTACAGTTGACATCAAAATATGGCGAGCGATCAAGTTCAATAATAATAAACAGACTCCGCCAGAAGGATTTAATTGTATATGTAAATGGCCAGATAAACGATTTCCGGAGTTCGATCTTGAGAAATGTGTTGCAACATGGTTCAAAACAAAGAAGGAGGGAGAAAGAGGAGATAATCAACAATACCTCCGTAACGGAAGGTCTGTGTCAAATGCAACTGAAAAAGGACCTCGGAATTACAATTCTGCTACCTCTGAAGCCCTCCCCTCAACGCGTCAAGGTGGCCAAAAGGGCAACCGGGCTCTTTTTGCCACTAAAAGAACATTCGTAGATATAGGTTGGGAGCTTTTTGGGAAAGAAAACGGGCACTTAATTTTTTTTCAACTGAAATATGTTATGCACACGTGTCATATATGCAAAAAAGATTGTAAGTTGCAGAGAAGGGCTGAATGAGGGCGACGAAAATTGTGAAGGATTTCAGAACCTTATCTTACAACTTCAGACTTGATGCGATTGACTTATTTCCTCTCGAGTACAGACTGTTTCGAGGAGATTTAAGACAGACCTGTCGGATTGTGAGGAATCGGCACTGTACCTCCTCCCTCACTCCTCCCCCTTAGCGACAATTTTCGCGGTTTTTGATGTCATCTCCCGCATTCCGACCTCATGCGGTCTGTCGACACTCAGGGCGGAACCCTCAGTATTCGCCGTCTACTAGTAGTTTGGTCGTAGCTCCCTTCCCCACTTTTCGACTGAGCTAGAAGCGTGCTGTGGCCGATCGCATCTGGCTTCCTCTCGTCTGGCCTCTTTGACGCGAATAGTCTCATGCGGCGTATAAATCCGGCCAAGACGATCTCAATTGTGAATCCCGTATACAATGTCACATGCAAGCCAGTCCTGTCTGACTCGCATACGTACCCCTCAAGGCTGAGATTTATTGTTACTCTGACGATGACCGACAGCATTCCGTTATATACCGCCACCTACAGGCCAGTCCTGCTTGCTTTTTCTGTCATTATTTTTATTGAGGGTTTTTTTCCCCTGTAAAATTAATGCAATCATTTTTAACTTTTTGTGAGGAGTTTTTTTTCACACCTCAATCATCATGTTTCTCAATGGACTACTAATTCAGAAACTATGAATTACATTTTGTAAAGATTCGGCCTACCTCGTCTAAAACTCGCATGTAAATTTTTTTGACTTGCTTTGATGGGACCCCGACGGGTCTTTAATAAAAAATTATCTATCTATCTATCTACCCGCATTTTGACGGATTCTTCGCAATAGCCACAAATATTAACCAGCGTGGGAAACGACTCAAACTCCGAAGAGCCCGATGCCATCTGAATGTTCGAAGATACTCGTTTTGCAGCGAGCTTTCGGTGCCTGGAACGGACTTTCCTAGAAAGTGATAATGATACATTCAGCAGGGACATTTTAACAAAATCTGGATGCATGTTTACCTGAAAAACGCCGTCCACCTAGAGAGAAAATCTTCGTTACACCTAACAAGTGGTTTGCATTCATCTACCACTAATGCGGATGACCACAACTTCATATTTAACATTGTCCTCAAAATTCGAGGGTTTCAATCCCAAGCTTTTAAAACAATATACCGTATACGTTGCTGGAAACATCATAGTGACATATCCATTTGAATAGTATCATTTCATGTGCGACCCTCAGCAGAGTCTTCAAAGTCATTCTCTATTCATTGATATTTTGGCAGATTTTGAATAATTCATATTGACCCAGCTGTGAAAAACTCGGCGCCTCGGTAGGATTCGAACCCACGCAGTAAGGGGGAAGGCTTTAGTACAGCCAACGCTCTAACCACCTGAGCTACTATTTTCTATTGCTGCAAAGAAGCAACCGTCAGTCCGGTCATCTTCAGACTTTTAAAGTAAGTCTAATCCCTCGTCCTTCTCCTTCTCCCCCTCCTCCTCCTCCTTCTCCACCTCCTCCTCTTTCTTCTTCTTTTTCTCCTTCTCCTCCCCCTCCTCCTCCTCCTCCTTCTTCTTCTTCTCCAAAACCAGAAACATCTAAATTGGTTCTTTTGGCGGAAAAATATGTTTATCGTCATAAATTTTTAGATGAGAATCGTTCACATCCAAAGGCGTGAAATCGTTTTGGTCGGAACGGCATCCCTTTACGTTTAAGCGAAAGGTAATCAGTGAAATTATTTTTTTTTGTAATCTGCAAGGTTATCAAGGAAGGCAGATTACCCGAAAAATAAAAGAGTAAGCCAGTCTCGCTGGACCATAAGAGCTGATTCCGAACACACCCCGGCTATCATCATGATGTCAGTCGGTGAAATGACAATTTAAGTTGATCAGAAGACGAGGTGGCGAGCATACGTAGCTTTCGATAAATTCTCGTCGGGCCAGTACAGTTATATGAGAACGGGGTAGAAGAAAAACACGTCAGCGATAAGAAAAATCGATAAAAGTTCTACTTAAAACACGGGCGGGGTGTTGGAATGTGGGGGGGAGGGTGGGGTGGGTAATAGCAGTCATTGTCAGGGGCGGGGTGAGAGCGGAAGGGCGCGAAGTGTAGCAGCGTTAGTCGACCTTCGACCACCGTAGGCGCGGAGCCTGAACGTGGTTCTTCTGCGCGCATAAGATCGGCTTTCGTAGCCTAATGGCGGCTGCTTCCGCTGTCGCTAACAGGCGCTGGCCTAGTAGCTTAGGATAGCTCGATGGGACCTTATAAATTGCACGAAAAGCTTCGTTGGGGTCCACGCGATGTCCGGAATCGACAACATGCGCGAGGATGGCACTGTCTATTCTCCTAGTTTCACCTTTGGCCAGCCATGCGGGAAGGTGTTCGCGTATTCTCTTGGATAAGCGCCTACTCGTGCGACCAATATAACCTGCTCCACAGGAGCAAGTGAAGGAATATATGCACATTGAGGTGGTCTGCGGTGGCAACTTATCCTTCCCTTCTCCACGTAAAATCGGGTTAGTGGAGAGTGCTATTTGAACCCTTGCTGCTGGGAAGGTTCGCGAGACAGCTTGATCAAGGCGTCTCCTTAGGAGTTCACTCGCGGCGTCCCCTTGGAAAGGGACCTTGAGGAACAAAGTCTTCTTTTCGGCGGTCGGTGTGGCGGGTTTGATCGGTAGTTCAGCAATATTCTTTTCAATAAACCTTTCAGGATATCCGTTTTCGCGAAGGAAGTCCTGGATTTTTCTGAGCTCCTCCTCGATGCTATCTGTTGAGCAAATTTTTCTAGCCCTTTGTGCCAAACATCGGACTAGATTTCGTTTTTGTTGGAGGGGTACGAAACTGGCGAAGTTCGTGTATTGTCCAGACCAGGTTTTCTTCCGATAGACGCTTCTTTGGACACTCCCGTCAGGTCTCCTGCTTAGAAGAACATCTAAGAAAGGGAGCGAACCAGCCGCTTCCATCTCCAGCGTGAATTTGATCGACGGATGTGCCTGATTTGCCGCATCTAAGAGGGTTGCCACATCGGTTTCTGCAGTGGCAATGGCAAAGATATCGTCAACATAGCGACCGTAATGTTTAAGCTTATCGATCTGTTCGCTTAGTTGGAATCTCTCCAATTTTCCCATGAAGACATCGGCTAGGAGAGGTCCAAGGGGTGAGCCCATAGCAACGCCGTCTACTTGTCTATAAAGTTGGTTGTCGAACAGGAACTGCACATTTAATGTGCATCTTCAGTCAGTCAGTCAGTGTATTTGAGGGAAATAGGCTTACGCCTTTGAACTCCCTATTTGTACATAAAAAATCGAAAAATTAGCAGAATGTGTAGAAATTACAGCAGTAATTGTATGCAGACATTGATTCACACATGTCACT